CTACTTTTTTGCCTCATTTAATTAGTTCTCATTGAGACTTGTACTTATGGTAATAAATCCCGTTATGTTTCATTAAATCCTATTTTTCACCAAAATACCCTTATTTATGAATTTGGTCCCTCTCTAATTGTGAGGATAGAAACTATAATTTGAAATACTATTTTTTACCACATTCAATTTCTTTTCATTAAGTCCTATATTTAATGGATAAACTCCAATTATATTCCATTAATTGGATCCCATTATTAAATAAAATACCTCTATTTTTGAATTTGACCCCTCTCTAATTGTAATGGTAGAAAATGTAATTAAGATCACCACTTTTCACCTCATTCAATACCCTTTCATTAAGTCTTATATTTAAGATATTAATTCTCATTCTCTTCCATTCAATCCTATACTTAAGCAATTTTTTCTTATCAATAAATTCTACTAATTAGATCTATTTCCAAAACTTTCAACAATATAAAATCCATGTTTTTTAAAACCAACCCAAAAACGAAACCACTCTTTTGTTGTGGTGGTGGGTAAACCTGTTCATGGGCCGGGTAGCCCGACGGCCCGGCCCGCACCCCAGCCGGGTTTGGTCATATAATTAGGCCCGCGGGCCTGACCTTGGGCTTAACACAGTAAGCCCGACTGTGTTTCGGGCCGGGCTCGGGATTTGTCAAAAAAGCCCAACCCGAGCCCGGCCCTGCCCAACTCAGTATTATATATTTTATAAAATATATAATATGTATTTTATATATTATATAAAATATATAAATAATATAATATTTATTAAAATATATATTTATAATTTAATATATATATATTATTCTTTTCTTTATAATTTCAATCTATCTCTCTCTTTATTCAGCTGCTTCAACATTAATAATAATAATAATATAGGCTAAATTTCGGGCCCAGGCCTAGGCTCGGGCTTCGGGCTCTTTATGAGGGCCGGGCTCGGGCCCAAATTGTAGGTCTGATGGTCGAGCCGGGCTCGGGCTCGGGCCTTAAAAAAATTTGTTAATACACAGTAAAAGCCCGGCCCGAGCCCGGCCCATGAATAGGTCTAGTGGTGGGAAAGCAATTCAATCATCTAGGTCAAATAAGTCAAACCATGATGTCATAGTTAAATAATAAAACTTTTAAAAATAAAAATAAATACAAAAATTATAAAGAATAAATGAAATTTAGAAAAAATGTCACATCTATAATATTTTATATTAATCATATTAAAGAAAAATAAGTATGATAAACAATAATTGTTTCTATTGGTGTTGGAAATAAAAAAAAAAAAAAATTAAAACCAACCCAAAAATAAAACTGTTTTCCTATTTGATGGAGGGTCAATAGTTCAACCTTTGGAGTCAAATGTATCAACCCTTGATGTCATAATTAAAGCAATAAAAACTAAAGAAAGATAAAAACTCACAAAAAAGAAAAATACAAAACAATGTAGAAAACATTTGAACACATCTCTAATATCAAATATTCATTCTGTCAATCCAAAAATGAGTATATAAATAAGAATTATTTTTTATATACATAGAAATATATAAAATATAGAAAATTTTGTAAAACATATATTTCTTTTATCATCATATCATTTAAAATTTCCATGTGCAAAACATGCATACATTTACTAGTAATAAGAAAAAGAAAATTGTGTCCATCTTTTTAACTAGAGAAAAGTGTGCAATTTCCTTCTCATACAAAACGGAGTTAGTTTTCAAATTGAGAAAGAATGAATGATTTAGGTCCTAAGGCACACTGAAGGTGCTAACTGGTTCAGTTGGTAAAGGTCTCTGGCTGGTTGTACCGGAGATTTTGGATCCATTCCTGCCTTAACCTGGGTTAGGGGTGTAGCCTCATGAAAAAAAAAATAAATAGATATATAGATAAGAGGGAAAGAAGAAGTAGTTCCTATGGCTACATTTGGTTGCAGTGCAATATTATTTGTACTAATACAAATGCATGGGAGTGTAAATGAAAATTAAGATGTAAAATTCCTGTTTAATTCTATTATAGGTTTTACTATTTTTCTGCTTCAAATCTTGTTTTACTTCATTTATACTACAATCAAACAAAATAGGGTAAAATTTGAAGCAAAAATAATCAGAGTTTGCATCTAAATCCTTTGCACTACCATGCTTTTGCATCAGCACAAATAAATTAAATATGCACCGCAGCTAAATGCAGCCTATGGTGCGCTAATTTCTGTTCCCAGTTCAAAGTTCAAACGTTTGGTGTGTGGCAGTTGTTTAGGCTACAATGTTCCTGTATGCAATTTATGTCTGGCCAAAAATGCTTTCATCCAAGAGCCGGTAAGCACTTTGATTACAATTTGCAAATACTGAACTCTCTCTATCTCTCTCTCATTCAACCGAGTTCAAATCAACCCCTCACAAAATTGCCTCTTATAACGTCTCACAACACATTCTTTCCGTGTAATAGGAACATCTTGGGATGATATATCAGGAGAATGATGATATCATCATCGAGAAATATTTTTAATACACGATATTCTGTGGGACATTGTGGGGGCAGTCTTGTAGGGGGCTGATTTGATCTCTATTCAACCCGGCCAATCCCATTTCGATCTACTACTCTCAATCCGAACCTGATTCGGCCATTACCCACTAGTACTAAAATGAACAGATATATCATATATGATGCCCAACACGACAAAAGCGTAACTCGGAATCTGGTCCAAAAAAGGGATGGGTGGGATAGGACCTTTCAATTGTAGATTATATATATTTTTCTCTCTCTCTCATTAGGAAATATGAATTTAATTTTATTAAACCACACCGCGGATCAATCTCTTACCTACAGCCGATAAAAAAACACAGGACCTACCAGATCACGGGTCAAGGTGCACTATATTAGGAATGGCAATAGAATAGGTTTGGAGAGGGTTTTATAAATTTTAGATTCTATCCATTTTCTTAATCTATTAATCTATATTTGCCTCAAAATATATAGTGAATTGGATTTTGAGAATTTAAACATTTTTATTATATGAAAATGCAAAACCCTCTCTCACCCTACCCTTCATGCATTTAGGATAGAGAACAATTGGGTTTAGAACCTACATCTAATTTTCTATTATTTCTTGTCATATATAATAATAAATAAGTAAAATAACACAAAATAAACAATAAAATTTTTAATTATTTGATTAATATATATAGAAAACACAAACTATCAATTATTCTTCACATAAAATTCAAAATACTATTAAATTCAACACTTAATACATAAAATTTATATATTTTCCAACAATAGACGAATTGAGGATGATCAGATTTAACCTAATAGTATACCCATATCCAGTATTTTCAAAACTGAACTAGATCGAGAAAACCAAAAACCAATCATCTGACCAGTTTTATTTCATCTCAAAAACCATTGATTTGATCAACAAATCACTGATCTAACGGTCAAACCATCCATCCGACCAGTTTTATCAGAACAGATCATCCATTCAGATTGTTGAACCCAAAAGCTAAATCCAAACGATTTACTGTCCCGTCCAATTTTAAGAACCTTACCCATAATAATACAGACTAAAAAAACAACTCCAACGAAGATGCCAAGAATGCAGGGGCGGGTAACGAAGAGGATAGGATATAAATTGCCATCCCTAACGTATATATTTGATCAAACCGACATCATTTCCTTGTTCGGATTCGGACATGAGCAATATAAGTAGAAGATGTGGGGCCAGGCCACCGGGGATGACAACATTAAGCTACAGAGTCCGAGGCCTAACGTGATCGGTCCGGTATCCCTCCGGTTCCGGTAGAGAATTCCAAGTGGTAAAAGAACTCAAAAGTCAAAGTGTGGGGCCGGATTTTTAAAATACATTTGATTGCCACGTGTTTAATAAGACCCAAAAAATACAAAAAAAGGCAATAAATTATTGAATGAACCCACCCCTTGGCCACCAGGGATACCGTCGTGGTGGACAGGAGAAATAAATAATAAGAAAATACGGCCGTTGATTGACGGCCATAGCACCCTGTCAGATTTCGTACACTGAAGCTGGACCCATCGTCTGACATGGGCGTGCTCCTTGTTCCTGGAGGGCCCACCGCGCAAGTTAGCGCATGTAGTTCTGCAGCCTTGCTCTTGTAGACACCAAGGCAAACGTGTGTGGGCAACGGAGTGCACGTTGCTTCCACACGCTCGAATAAGTCACGCCCCCGCAGCCCCGCTTACCCGTTTTTCCCCTTTTTTAGTTTTACCTCCCAATCAACCACAACCATTGGAATTGCTCTTCACCCCAAAATGACAAAATCGCCCTCCTCCCTGAACTTGATTTAGGTGGAAACGTAAAAAGATTAGTCCCTCACTGGTCACTACCATTCTCCTCTATCTATATTATTAAAATAAAATAAAATAAAATAAAACTTGTATATGTATCATCACTTTAGCAGAAATGGAGATTCTTTTGTCTGTAATTAAATAATGAATTTGCCTGATTATCCCTTACTCCCCCGTCTGCCAGCGTGCACTAACCACCTACCATTGTTCTGATACATGGAGATGGTACCCTTTTATTAAAGAAACCATCGAATGAATGTTAAGGATCTTTTTAATCGAGATAAACAGATAACAAGAGATAACATTTTGGCACCTGATCATTTTAATTTTATTATCTATTAGGTAACAGCAATTGTCACCTCAATGGACGGTCATGATCATCCATCACTTCTCTTTTTTATTACGAGGTACTCCACCTCAGCCGTTGGAAGGTATTTTAGGTCTGCAGGACATAAGATCCTTGACCACAATTGAGCCTGGATATTTTGGTCATTAAATTTCTCAAAAAATAAAAAGAGGGTCCAGACGGTGTAGTAGACTGCCTCCGACTTCGTTCCGATGATTCCGTAGGTAAAAGTACATTTCGAGCAAGGATATTTTCGGAAATAAAATCTGTTTCCCATTTCACCCTCCTGGGTCCTTTGTCCTGTCTCCCTTTATAAATTTTCCATCTCCTCCGTTCCGAAATTCCAAGTTCTCTCTCTCATTACTCCCTCTAGCTGTACTCTCTCTCTCAGAGAGAGTGAGTAAGCTCTGTAAAAAAAAACAAGAAAGAGCTGGAAATTATCTTCAATGGCGTCCGAGACCGAGACAAAAGGCCAGAACAAGAAATTTACGACCACTCAGAAGCTAGACGACGAGCCACCGGAAGAGCGGTGTCCGGTGGAGGAAGTACGGTTAGTCGTTCCGGAAACGGACGATCCTTCGCTTCCTGTCATGACCTTTAGAGCATGGTTCCTCGGTATTATATCATGCACACTACTCATATTCCTCAACACCTTCTTCATTTACCGTACGCAGCCCTTAACTATATCGGCAATTCTTATGCAAATTGCCGTCTTGCCCATTGGAAAATTTATGGCGTCCACGCTTCCAAATAAGGAGATCAAGGTTTTGGGGATGAGTTTTAACTTGAACCCTGGGCCTTTCAATATGAAGGAGCACGTCATCATCACCATCTTTGCCAATTGCGGGGTGTCTTATGGTGGTGGAGACGCCTACTCCATCGGTGCCATAACGGTTATGAAGGCTTACTATAAGCAGAGCTTGAATTTCGTTTGTGGTCTTCTCATAGTCTTGACTACACAGGTAATCTTTGTTTTCTTGATTTCTTCGTGTTGTCATCGTTTGCTCATGGTACAGGAGGAGTAGGAAGAATTTGGTCTATGAAATTAAAACTCGAGTTTTCCTATAGCTACATGTTTTTATTTTGGGATGAGAAAATGGAAATGCTTTGGTTTTGGGTTTCATGTTTAAGTATAGATTGGATGAAAGATATTCTTTTTGTAATTTTTGTCGTTATCGTTTTGTTTTAGTTTATATTAGCTAGTTTTTGTTGTTTCTTCGATTCGTTTCTTTTCTTTATTATGGCGACTTAATGGAGGATAATACTTGTTAAAAAGAAAAATGAAGAGCAAGATTTGCATCCTGTGGAGGATAAATTTTCGGTATTTACTGAAAAAAATAGGTTACCTTTACCTCATCTTTTGTTTTATTAAAAATCCATTTCTTTCCTCCTTTTTCTCTCTAGGACCTTTACTGGTTTTCTTTCTTTTCTCTGCTGAAAATGCAGACATAAATATAATACAGTTATAATACTGGAAAGCAATTTAATGTCTGTTTCCTGACTTTCGATACTTGTTGGTGAATTTTACAGGAGTTCCAGTTGAATGAAAAAGTTAAAGTTCATCACTCAATTTCTTCTTTACTAACTCTTACCTTTTTGTTGCAGATATTGGGTTATGGATGGGCAGGGATGTTGAGGAGATATCTGGTTGATCCTGCTGAAATGTGGTGGCCTTCAAACCTTGCTCAGGTTTCTCTTTTCAGGTATTGCTTTTTTCCTTTTCAGCTCTGTTTCTTGGTGTGGTTGTTTTAAATTTGTAGTTCCGGGAAAGTAAATTAAATAAAAATTGGAGGAGAATATATGCAAAATTGGATGGCATTTAATTGCTTTATTTGGTATAGTCACTTTGTGGTTTAAAGAAGGCTAAAAGGGAAAAGTTAAACAAGAAAAAAAGAAGAAATGATGATGTTTCTTGTTTTTTGGAGAGATTGTGGATGCATTTGCCTTTCCTGTCTTTAATTGTTCTGTTTCAGACATGAAGCACGAAGGGAAGTGGGGACGCGGGGTACAAAATAGGGAAAAAACGGTAGATAGAATACTTGCTTGGTCAGTTATTATCTTAATGGAGAGTTCAAACAAGTAAAGTTTTCTTAAAGAATATGAATAAAGCAAAACTATTCCTTCTTCAATCATTTGTCTGTAGCTGAAACCAGTTTATAAGTTGTATTGGCAAAACACGGAACCTTCTTTCTTCCATTTACTCTTAACCCTTACAAGATATAAGATGATTTTTTTTTTAATCTTTTCTGTAACCTTGCTGTTACAGGGCACTCCATGAGAAGGATTCTCGATCAAAAGGCCTCACGCGGATGCAATTTTTCCTCATCTTTATGGTTGCAAGCTTTGTGTATTACACCCTCCCTGGCTATCTATTTCCGGTTTTGACATTCTTCTCATGGGTCTGTTGGGTATGGCCCCATAGTATTACAGCACAACAAATTGGTTCAGGCTACCATGGACTTGGAGTGGGAGCCTTCACCCTTGATTGGGCTGGCATATCGGCTTACCATGGAAGTCCACTAGTGACACCTTGGTTCTCGATTCTCAACGTTGCAGTGGGATTCATCATGTTTATATACATAATTGTCCCTGTGTGTTACTGGAAGTTCAACACTTTTAATGCTCGGAGGTTCCCCATATTTTCAAATCAGCTCTTCACTTCTAGTGGTCACACTTATGACACCACAAAGATCTTGACTCCGCAGTATGATCTGAATGTTGCTGCCTACAATAGTTATGGGAAGCTCTATCTCAGCCCGCTATTTGCTCTTTCAATTGGGTCAGGATTTGCTCGAATAACAGCAACCATGACTCATGTGGCATTATTTCATGGCAGGTAGGCTTTGCTTTCAAATTACAAAGCATTAACATCCTCGATTTCAAATTAGATTAAGATTCTGGTTGCAATTCATGTTTATCTTCATTGTCCGTCTTTCAATCTAAAAGAAAAGCTTCTCTTTGTTCCTTAAGAATTAGCTTCACAGATGACCATCAGCATTCTTATACCATGATTGAAGCATATTAAGAGTCCCACCACTAGTATTCATTTATCCAGTGAGGTTAGGTTAGCATGCATATGAATATGACTTTAAACAGTCTAATTCATCATAGTTCTGAGGTTTTATTTTTGGAGGGAAATCTCAATATTGGGATAACTAGATTAATATTGTTAATGCTCCTAGCCCCGGGAGCAAGTCCAACGGCTCACAGCTCAAGCCACAATCATACCTCTGCCATGGCCAGGGATTTGGTAATGTGTTCCACTGTTTAGAGGTGTTTGCATGAAAATAATCGTTTCATCACCTTGCAGATGAGATTTTGATAATTTTCTTTTGTTCAGGGATATAATAAGACAGAGCAAATCGGCCATGAACAATGTAAAATTGGACATCCATGCAAGATTGATGAAGAATTACAAAGATGTCCCCCAGTGGTGGTTCCTCATCCTGTTGGTAGGCAGCGTTGGATTATCTCTGTTGATGACTTTTGTGTGGAAAGAAGAAGTGCAGCTGCCCTGGTGGGGGATGCTTTTTGCATTTGTCTTGGCTTGGGTTCTTACCCTCCCTATTGGAGTCATTCAAGCAACTACCAATCAGGTATTGCAATAGTAGAACTAGGCTATTGAATACATAGAACCCAAAGAGAGAATTGCAAGGAGTCTGAGATCTAGACCTAACATTTTGATGTTCTTTGGTTATGGAACAGCAACCTGGATATGACATCATAGCACAGTTCATAATTGGATATATCCTTCCTGGAAAACCCATAGCAAACCTGCTTTTCAAGATTTATGGACGAATAAGCACCATACATGCGCTCTCTTTCTTGTCCGACCTGAAACTTGGGCATTACATGAAAATTCCTCCTAGGTGCATGTTCACAGCTCAGGTAAGCAGCACATAAACATTTATTGTTTTCAATAACGAATGAAAACCATTATAACAATTTAGTATGCTCTTCCTCTTGCTGCAGCTGGTGGGGACGATAATTGCTGGCACAGTCAATCTTGCAGTTGCATGGTGGATGCTGGGGAGTATCGATAACATCTGTGATGTTGAAGCCCTCCATCCCGACAGTCCATGGACTTGCCCAAAATTCCGAGTCACCTTCGATGCTTCAGTCATTTGGGGCCTAATTGGTCCAGAACGATTGTTCGGGCCTGGTGGGCTGTACAGGAACTTGGTGTGGTTATTTCTCATTGGTGCTGTGTTGCCAGTGCCCGTATGGATCCTGAGCAAAATGTTCCCTGAAAAGAAATGGATTCCATTGATCAACATACCCGTTATCTCTTACGGTTTTGCTGGGATGCCACCAGCAACTCCCACAAACATTGCTAGCTGGCTTGCCACTGGAACCATATTTAACTACTTTGTATTTCGATATCGCAAAAGATGGTGGCAGAGATACAATTATGTTCTATCTGCAGCATTAGATGCTGGGACAGCATTCATGGGTGTTCTGTTGTTCTTTGCTTTGCAGAATGAGGGGCGGAATTTGAAGTGGTGGGGTACCAAGTATGACCACTGTCCTTTGGCTACATGCCCGACTGAGCCAGGCATTGCAGTTAAGGGTTGCCCGGTGTTCAAGTAGGGAATGAGAAGCTAATAGAAAGATGTGGTAGAGGTGTTGAAGAGATTAGCACATACGCTTACGGTTAGAGCTTGTTACCCCCCCCCCCCCCCCCCCAAAAAAAAAAAAAAAAAACAGACAAAGAATGAACCTGACTTGAGATTCTTGTATGTTTTCTATCCTTGGAAGTGAAGGAGATAGTTTTTTGTTTTTTTTTTTTTTTCTTTTTTGGCTTTTGTTTTTCTCTAATTGAAGTAGAGATTGTTCATCTTTGTTCATTTTAAATTGAGACTTGAGATGAAAAGGCCTGCTGCAAATGACGCAGTATGAGGTGCTTGGGACTGGCTAAAGTAGGTGTTGTGGCCATCTGATCCCGACTCACCTTTCTTTGCTAATTCTTTCCACCATTCATGTAAAACAGGAGATCCCGTCAGCTTTGGCAACAGCAGCGTAGCTATGGTTGACCCAATCTTCTGTGATCATCCAAGAGTAGTTGAGTACTACATTTTACAAAGGAGAGTGTTACATATGGTACTCCAATTTTGGTCATACGAATGGTCCATCCCTATGATCTGGACAGGCCACGTCACCCTTACATGACTACTAGTAGTTGGAAGATACCAGTTGGGAATTGGAATTTCGATCTTATGTTTCATTGATTGCTAGCAACCACCAATATGATGATAGTAACTACAGCAAGTCGATAAAAATAGAATAAATTTTCCATCATTTTGAAATAAAACTTCCATGCACAATTGTCACAGGTGACTCTTTCGTCGCGATATCAAGCACCTACAGTGAACCATCCGAGTGCCAACCGCGTGCCTTCATGGTGTCAACATGTGTGTTATGGGTGGACTTTGCTTGTATTTTGTAAGGGGGACCGCCAATGGCATTATTATAATTACTTAGTATGCTTTTCCATCATTTTGATGTTTCCTATTGTCACTCCCCCAAAAGCTTAACGTACTCTTTGAGGGGAGGTAKGTAGTCGAGTGAGCTCATAAGCGTGTAAAGGTTAAGCACGAGATCCCCTCGACACTGTACTGTGTGCTTRTGCTTACCACTGATTAATGCAATACAAATAGTTTTTTGCTAATTCGTGTGCCATCTTATTGCCTTTGTGTGTGTGTTTGCTTTGTTTCGTAGGCTTACTCGCCCATTTCGAGTGCCGCAGGGGCCCCAACGATTAACCCCGTGACAATTGGTATCAGAGCAGGTGCTCCTACAAACACTCTAGACCTTGTCTTCGTCCCTACATCAACCCAAT